TATATGGTTTAGGGAGACGTGGACAGTTGCCAAGTTGACAAGGAATGGGCTGTGATGGTTAAGATTGTGTGTCAACTTGGCTGGGCCATGATTCTCAAGTGGTTTGGCAGTTATGATATAGTTTGGTAGCTATGTAATGATGTAATCACCTCCATAATGAGATCTGATATAATATATTCACCTCCATGATGAAATCTGTTATGAGCAGCCAATCGGTTGAAAAGGAATTTCTTTGGGAGTGTGGCCTGCATCCAATATAGGTGGACTTTCCTGCAAAGCTCAGTAGCTTTTGTTTACTCTGGATCTTGTAGCTGGCTCCTGTTCATCTGACCTCCAGTTCTTGGGAATTCAGCTAGCAATTTACCTGGTGATGTTGGGATTCATCAGCCACCCCAGCCTGTGAGCCAGCAGCCTGCCATCTTACCTGCTGATCTTGGGATTCACTGGCCTCCACAGCCTGTGTGCCAGAGGCCTGCTGTCTGACCTACCAATCATGGGTTCACCAGCTTCTGCAGCTACATGTGTCAGGAAAACCCTCCAGCCTGACCCATGGACTTGGGACTTCCTTGCCTCAACAACCACATGAGCCATTTCCTTGATATAAATGTCTCTATGTATATTTATATGCTTCACTGGTTTTGCTTCTCTGAAGAACCCAGCCTAAGACACTGACTCCTTATGGAACAGTGTGAGAATGTGCTTGGTAAATATACTAAGGTGCAAAATCAAAGGGTTACATGGTATGTCTATTTTTAATTTATCTAAGTACTGTCAAATTACTCCATAGTATTATTTTTCCCAGAAGTGCTTACTTGTCTATTTCAAGAAATTTGGAACACAGGTACCTGGCCAACTGACTGAAGAGATCCATATATGTGCCCATTCCAAAGAAAGCTGATCAAATAGAATGTGGAAATCATCTAATAATATGATTACTATCACACGCTAGCAAAATTTTGCTGAAGATAATTCAAAAATGGCTGCAGCAGTACATTGACAGGGAACTGCCAGAAGTTCAAATTGGATTCAGAAGAAGATGTGAAATAAGGGATATCATTGCTGATGTCAGATGGATCTTGGCTAAAAGCAAGGAATGCAAGAAAGATGTTTACCTGTGTTTTATCAACTACACGAAGGCATTTGACTATGTGGATCATAACAAATTATGGATTATATTGTGAAGAATGAGAATTCCAGAACACTTAATTGGGCTCATGCAAAACATGTACATGGATTTAGAGGTAGTCGTTTTAACAGAATAAGGGGATACTGTGTGGTTTAAAATTGAAAAAAGTGTGAGGCAGCGTTCTATTATTTCACCTTACTTATTCAATCTATATGCTGAACAAATAATCTGAGAAGCTGGGCTATATGAAGAAGAACACAGTTTAAGGATTGGAAGAAGACTCATTAACAATCTGCAATATGCAGATGACACAATCTTGCTTGCCGAAATGAAGATGCCTTGAAGCACTTCCTGATGAAAGTAAAAGACTATAGCCTTCAGTATGGATTACATCTGAATATAAAATGAAAGCTTTCACAGCTGCACAAATAAACAACATCATGAGAAATGCTGAAAACATTGAAACTGTCAAGGATTTCATTCTTCTTGGATCCACAATCAACACCCATGGAAGCAGCAGTGAAGAAATCAAATAACGTACTGTTGGGCAAATCTGCTGCAAAAGACCTCTTTAAAGTGTTGAAAAGCAAAGATGTCATCTTGAAGACTACAGGGCACCTGACCCAAGCTATGGTGTTTTCAGTCGCCTCATATGTATGTGAATACTGGGCAGTGAGTAAGGAAGATCTAAGAAGAAATACAACCAGAGGGTTCTTTGGAAGTGAGGATGCATACTTTGGACATGTTATCAGGAGGAATCAGTCCCTGGAGAAGGATATCATGCTTGGTAAAGCAGAGGGTCAGCGAAAAAGAGAAAGACCCTCAATGAGATGGATTGACACTGTGGCTGCAACAATGGGTTCAAATGTAACAACAATTGTGAGGATGGCACATGACCGGGTAGCAGTTTGTTCTATTGTACATAGGGTGGCTATGAGTTGGAAGCGACTTGACGGCACCTAACAACAACAAGAATTGATGCATTTGAATTACGGTGTTGGCAAAGAATATCGAATATACCGTGGACTGCTAGAAGAACAAACAAATCTGTCTTGGAGGAAGTACAGCCAGAATGCTCCTTAGAAGTGAGGATGGCAAGATTTCGTCTTGCTTACTTCATACATGCCATCAAGAGGGACCAATTGCTGGAGAAACACATCATGCTTGGTAAAATAGAGGGTCAGCAGAAAAGGATACCCTCAATGAGATGGATTGACATAGTAGCTGCAACAATGGTTTCAAACATAGCAACAATTTTGAGGATGGCATGGGACCAGGCAAGTTTCGTTCTGTTGTACGTTGGATGACTATGGGTCAGAATCAACTTGATGGCACCTAACAACAACATTATGTTCCCAATCTACACCCCCAACAGCAAATACCCATAACCGGTCAATATTGGAGCCCTGGTGGCACAGTGGTTAAGAGCTTGGCTGCTAACCAAAAGGTCAGCAGTTCGAATCCACCAGCCACTCCTTGGAAGTCCTACAGGGCATTCTATTCTGTCCAATTGGGTCGCTATGAGTGGGAATCGACTCGACGGCAACGAGTTTGGTTTATCAATATTAGTATTTTCCAGCTTTATAATTTTTGTCAGTCTTACAGTATGAGATGATATCTTATTTTCTCTGTTTGCATTTTTCGGATTACCAATTATTTTGAACACTTTGTCAAATGCTTGTTAGTGTTTTGAGTGCCCTCTTTGGTAAATTACCTTTCCTTATCTATTGTCCATTTTTCTGTTTGACATTGCTAGTTTTTTCTTGTTGGTTTGCAGAAGGACCTTATATAGTGTAGAACTCTAGGTATTAAATAATTGTCATTTTTAAACTTTGCAAATACCTAACACTATTTTGTCATATGTCTAATTTTGTCCATATTTTAATTTTACAGAAATTTTTAATTTTTATGTACTTATCAAGCTTTTGTCTTACAATTTTTTAAAGTTTTTTCTAGGAAATGGGTTCCTACCCAGAGGCCCAAAATTTTTCTCCTGCAATTCCTTAATGTTGCAGTTTTACCTTTCATATTTAGATATCCAATTTATCTGGGCTCTGCCTTTGTGGTGTTAAACAGGCATCCACTTTTATTTGTCTCCATATAGAAGGCCTACCTTCTGAACTCAAGTGCTAAACAGCTCATCCATTTTTCCATTGATTACCAGTACTACCTTTATTCATCTTATGTGTGTATGTGTCTGTCTGTCTGAGTTTTCTAGCCTACTCTATTTTTGTTGTTCTGTGACAATTTGACAATGTTTTATTACTATAGACTTTGAATATGTCTTAAAGAATATGTCATAACTTTTCTTCTTTATAAGCTTAACTTAGTATTCATGGGCTTTTATTTTTTTTAAATAAATGTTAGAGTTTATCAAGTCTCTCAAAAAATTCAGCTGAAATTTGGTTTGGATTGCACTGAATTTGTGGGTTAATTTTGGAAAAATTGACGTATTTAGACTATTAAGTCATGCCATCTAAGAACATGGAATATCTCTCCATACATACAGATTTTTCTATGTCCATTATCAGATTGTTAAAGTCTTCCCCATAGAGAAATTGTGTCATATTAAGTCAACCCCTACACTTTATAGTTTTGCTGCTATCATCAATGGTATATTTTTTATTCTATTTTGTAGTTGACTATCACTGATGTAAAGAAATGTATTGATTTTTGTAGGTCAATGTGATATTTTACAACCTTGTTGGACTCTCTTCTTAGAAGAGCCTTAGGTGGCACAGTGGTTAAAGCGCTTGGCTGTTAAACAAAAGGTTTGCAGTTCAAATCTTACCTTTTGTAGTTGAATGATCTTATCATCTGCAAATAATAAGTTTCCCCTCTGCCTTTCAACTTTTATCACCTGTTCTTTGGAGTAACATGTGAAAAATAGAAAGTTTTCTTCTATTCTTAGTTGTCAAAAGTTTTGTTAACATTTTTGGATTTTTTTTATCATAATTAGGTATTTGGACTTATTCAATTTTTTCTGCATTCTGACATTTTCATATGATTGTTCCTTTCAATGATAATGACACATTATCAGTATTGGTCTGTTAAACCTCTCTTTGATTTTATTCATTATCCTTTATCTTTTAACTCACTTCCATTTCCCTCCATTCTCATGGGCAGACATTCTATTTTGATTAATGTATGTCAACTTTGTTTGTATATTTTCTCAGAAATTGGATATATTTCTTTTTATGCATTCATTTTTTGATTATCTAAAAGAAATCTCATTCTATAGCTTACTTTTTTTACTTGGCATTCTGTTTTTATGATTCATCCACATTGATATGTGTACATCTAATCTGCCACTTCCAATTACTGGATAATAATTCATGGAGTGCAACTGCTGCTTTTGACATATCCACTTTGCCAGTGACACAGACTCTTATTACCTAAAATTGCCACCAACATAAATAAGATTACAAAGAATATTCACATAACTGTCCCTTGGACCTGTAGAATAATTTCTTTGGGATACGTATTCAGCAATGGAATATCTAGGTTACATGTATATATGTTATTTGCCCAAGCAGTCCAGAATTTCCACCATTTACAACAGTCCTCCGTTGCTGGTGCTTTAAATTGGGCACTCTTTTATCAATTTAGTCTGTATGGTTTTTTTTGGTCCCTTGGGGATTATTCACATACTCTGGTCCACCAACACAGTCCCTTCTTATTTTCCAACGTGGCAAGGGATTTTTACCATTTCTTGGAATTGAGGTTTACATGAAAAAGATTTTTGGTGGCAAAGAGCTTTAGATGATGATGCTTAAGAGAGGGTGTCTCTGCAGTTAGCGATGGGACCGCCACAGGAACAGTTGTCCAGTGGAGTAAGGTTCACTCACCCTCTTCGCCCTGGATGTGTTTCTAGGTCCGCGGACACAGTATGACGCCGGCACAGCAAAGGAAAGGTGACATCTCGGTCACCCTACCTCCTCACTCTAGTCCTAGGAGCCTTACAGGTCCAGCGGAGCTGTGGGGAGGCGAGGGAGGGGGCCGGAGAGCAGGGGCACCGCTCTTCCGGTGTCCGCGCGGGTCTCCACGCGCAGCGCCCCACGCAGCCGCGCTCTTGGCTACAACCGCGGCTTTGGAACCGAACGTGGGCGATGAAGGCCACGGCTGAGGGAGCAGCGCCCACCGGGCTCCCGGGGCTGGGAGGCCCCGAACTACGGATGCCGCCTCCTAGATCAAGCCCCTCTGGCTCTGTGCGTAGGGCATGACATGAGCGTAGGGAGCCCAGGCCGCGTCGCCACTGGTGCTAGGACAAGGACTACCGCTGCGGGGCAGGTGTTCCCAGAGACCCCCAAGGCCGGAGCGCGGCCCAAACCACTGAAGGTAAAGAAGACTACCAATTCATACATCGTGGAACTTTTTATTTATTCCTTTCAATACCTTTGTTCCAGTGTGTGTTTCCAGTAACCGGCCGTTTTACACACATAACATCTTCTCAGATAAACAGGGAGTGGGCTAGTTTACAGGAGAAGAACAGAGTTAAAGGGGGAGTGTAATGACTTGGGGACCCTAGGGTCCTGGAGTAAGTTGTGGCAGTGCTGACCTTGCCTGCCAACTTTTGACCACATCCCCATATTCTTTGTGGCTTGGAAAATGTGTGCTGTTTTTTGAAATACAGATTATGTAATCAGAAACTTGTGTTCTTGATAATAGGAATTGTTGATTTCCAAGATGAGTGAACTAAGAGTCTTCCTGCTTGTGCTTTCACTTTTCTGACTGGCCAACCGGCATTGCTTGAGGAAATGGTTAAAGATGATTAAACAAGGACATTCTACTGCTGCTCTCCTGGAGCAGGCCTGAGAGTCCCCATGTAAGAAGTGACTCTTCCAGAATCATCCCCTGCGTGGTGCAATTCAGATGGCCTGCCCATGGAAATTCAATTTAACCTTCAACAGCAAAACCCTAGTCTGTTTTCTCTACCCAAGGCTTCTTAGTACATGCCACAGGTCCTGGTCAGCCTGTTCTTTTTCCTTGAATTCAACTGCTCTGGAGAATGACTGTATCTGTCCTTGTGGTATACTCCAGAGCTGCCCAAAATTAATGCAATAAATTCCAGAGAGCCTATGTTTTACATCTGACCTTCCCAAACACGTATTACATGGCTGGTACAAACAAATCTACCCATTTATACCTAAGGTGGTTAACGGACCAACAGAGAGAAATTAAATTTTATCAGATTGATTCATCTAGCAACTCTCAAATTCCAAGAATTTGCAAACACACTGCTAGAGCCAGATGCTGTGCAATACTGTGCAAGAGTTTTCAGCAGCAAAGATATGTGTGGGAAGGTGTTTTAAAAAGAGTGTAACATCACATGGTAGTGGAAATGTCAGTGGTCAGGAAGGATGAGGTGCCATCTGGGGAGTGAGGCTGCATACAAGGTGGAGGCCACAGCATACCAGGCTGTAATGAGCTACACACAGGAATGTGTACTGTGCCATTAAAATATTTCAACCAGGGGCTTGACACCCGTGATTTCCAGTTTAGAAATGTCACTGTGGTCATATTGTAGAGAATTGAAGCATTTAGGTTTCTCTGCTGTGGTAATTGGGTTGTTGTTATTTTGCTGTTCTGTAAATCTCCAAATTTGACCATCAGTAATTGTGGGTTATGGAGATGCTGCAGTTGCATTGACGTTTGGGGAGAGGTCCCCTGAGAACAGAAATTTCTGGAGTTTTAGGACGGTCCTGGGCTGAACAAGCTCAATCTCCCAGCCTGATGGAGCCATAGTAATGGTAGTAGGCACTATTGTGTTTGATGTGTAGTCTTCAGACACTTTTCTGTGGAAACACACCAGGATTGTTTGTCACTAAACTAGGAATAGATTCATAATGACTGATACTAAACTCAAGTGACTAACTTAAAGGAATGTTACAAAAGAAAAGATCAAAAGGAAAAACACATCCAAAGTTATGGGGGAAGTCCTGATAATCAGGTAACTGGAAAAGGTTGAGGGGAAATAGAAAAGAAGTATTACTGACATTCAACTATGTGCCAGTTCCTACCATTTACCTCTCAGAACAACTCTGTAGGGTGAGAAAACTAGTTTTCTGAAAGATTAAGTAGGACCTAGGCCAAATAGTAATTGTTATGGACAAAATTTTAACTTAGGACAGCATAAAAAATCCTATGGTGGGAGCCAAGACAGCAGAGTAGTTAGATGCTTCTGGTGGACCATCTTACAACAAAGACTCGAAAAAAACAAGTGAATCAATTATATATGGCAATCTGGGAGCCCTGAACATCTAAGGCAAAGTTGAGGAACCGGACTAAGTGGCAGGGGGAGGGAAAGACGGTTCAGAAGCAGTGAGGAGTTTCCAGACCTGACCGGGCGAGAGCCTGAGCCCTTCAGGCCTGATCAGCTCAGGTGTGAGCGGTGAGGCAGGCAAGCAGTGGTGCTCGGGAGGCGTGTTTTCCTCACCTGGAGAGACCCAGTGCCAGAGAGTTTGCACAGTCACCCAGAGCCAGTGAGAAGCAGCCCTCGATCCAGTGAAAGATGAGTAATTGCGTATTGCTTACTGCATGGATCAAAAACACCCCCCTTAGGGAAAAACCTCTCTCCCATTTACCTCCCCACTCCCTGCTCTGCACTGGGTCCCGGACCAACTTCAGCAATTGCTGAGTCCCCTGGGCCAGAAGTAGGATCCATCACATGCCCGGAGCCATTCTCCCTGCCTTGGAGAGTGAACAAATTAACAGAGGAAAAAATAAACTGCTGGCTCCCCTACACCAGGAACCCAGGGTAGGCACAGCTCCTTTGCCTAGGCACAGGCATAAGGGATCCACGGACTTTGAGTGCCTTTCCTCCTGCATTGACTTGTGTGGGCCCATCTCAACGGCATAGGCCTTCATTACCACAGTACAATTGGGTATATATCGGAAGTCTAACTTCAACTGTTTCAGCTATGAAGTGACAGGCTCTTGACATTTGATGCTGCTCTGCCCATTAAGCAGGGTCTTCACTTACCCACTTCAGGGGTCTGAGGACTGGTAGCTCCACTCATGCCACCTAGCCACCATGATAGGGTCCCAAGAATAAGAGGTGCCCCACAGTCCTTACGGCCAACAGCATTAGGTGCTCATAGTCCAGCTACAAACCCCACCTACCTACACGCTCTAGGGAACAGGGACACGCCTTCCTCCTGGACACTCAGGGGCGGCCGTCAGCCCCCTGCCTTGCTCAGAGTGTGTCCCCCTGCTACAGCCAGATGCCTGTACCTACACCAATCACCCATGCCTGTCTAGGACTGTAAGTGACAGCCTACACCACACACTTGGTGGCTATCTCCCTGGGCACCTGAGCTGAATCCATACAGGAGGAGTGGGCGAACTCCTGAGCTCACATACCTAGTAACAGACCTAACCACCGGGTGACAGGACATTAGAGCTTCAAAAATGCCAATAATCAAACTAGTTCGCACAAGCAGCCTATTTGGGCATATCAAAACAAAATAAGAAGCTAGGACACAGTAAGCAAACAAAATAAATAAATATAATAATTTATTGATGACTCGGAGACAACAGTCAATATCAAATCACATAAAGAGGCAATCCATGATGGCTTCACCAAGCTCCCAAAATAAAGAATCTAGAAATTTTCCAGAGGAGGAAAATTACTTGGAATTACCGCAGGCAGAATACAAAAGATTAATATACAGAACTCTTCAAGAAATTAGGAAGGAAATTAAGCAAAACACAGAATACGCAATAGAGGAAATTAAAAAAGATTACAGAAGAGCATAATGACAAATTTAACAGGCTGCAAGAATCCATAGAGAGACAGCAATCAGAAATCCAGGAGATTAACAATAAAATTTCAGAATTAGACAATAGAAAGTCATAGGAGCAGAATTGAGGCAATGGAAGTCAGAATTAGGGAGACTGAAGATAAAGCACTTGACACCAACTTATTTGAGGAAAAATCAGATAAAATGATTAAAAAAATGAAGAAACCCTAAGAATTATGTGGGACTCTATCAAAAGGAATAACCGACGAGTGACTGGCGTACCAGAACGGGGGGGATAACAGAAAATACAGAGAGAATTGTTGAAGACTTGTTGGCAAAAAACTTCCCTGATACGTGAAAGATGACAAGATATCTATCCAAGATGCTCACTGAACACCACATAAAGTAGATCCCAAAAGAAAGTCACCAAGACATATTATAATCAAACTTGCCAAAACTAAAGAGAGAATTTTAAGAGTGGCTAGGAATAAATGAAAAGTCATCTATAAAAGACAGTCAATAAGAATAAGCTCGGACTACTCGGCAGAAACCATGCAGGCAAGAAGGCAATGGCATGACATATATAAAGCCTTGAAGGAAAAAAACTACCAGCCAAGAATTATATATCCAGCAAAACTGTGTCTCAAATATGATAGCAAAATTAGGGCATTTCCAGATAAACAGAAGTTTAGGGAATTTTCAAAAACCAAACCAAAACTACAAGAGATCCTAAGGGAGTCCTCTGGTTAGAAAATTAGTAACATCAGATGACAACTCTAGACTAGAACACAGAACAGAGCAACCAGATATCAACCCAGATAGAGAAGTCACAAAAGAAAATCAAAGCTATAACACTGAAAACAGGGAAACAGATGTCAATATGTAAAAGATGACAACATTAAAACAAAAAAGAGGGACTTAAAAAATGTAGACATAGATTTTTCATATGGAGAGGAAGTCAAAGCAATATAAAGAAATAAAAGACTGGTTTAAACTTAGAAAAATATGGGTAAATATGAAGGCCCTCAAAGGAAACTAACAATCCTACAAGTTAAAATAAAAAAACGAGAAAAATATAAAGACTCAGCAAACACAAAATCAACAACAATGAAAAAGATGAAAAGAAAATACATAAAGTAAAACAACTCAGCACAGAAAATTAAGCGGAACAAAGAAACTGTCAACAACACACAAAAAAAATACATCAAAATGACAGCACTAAACTCATACCTATCAATAATTACGCTGAATCTAAATGGACTAAATGCACCAATAAAGAGACAGAGAGTGGCAGAATGGATTAAAAAAAAAAAACACACACACAATCTGTCTATATGCTGCCTACAAGAGACACACTTTAGACTGAAAGACACCAACAAACTAA